TCCATACATACATCAATTGTGTAAAGCACATTTGTACATTCATTGCCCTCATCATTCTCAAAACATTTGCTCTCCACTTAAGCCCCCGGCATCAGGTGGCAGGGTTTCTATAACAGATCATTTTTGTGTTCAAACACTTAAATAATTTATCAAACCTCCCCCATGGCTTTCCCTGTTTCCTGCTCTGCCCCCATCTTCTCCCCACCTTTCTCTTTCTGGTGTATGATCTTCACCTCTATCTACGTTAACACGTATGTGTCCCATAGCCTATTGCTTCCCCTTCCCCCGCCCCATCTACTCCCATCCCCGATAACCATCAAAGCCTGTTTCTTTGGGTGTGAAAAATCATATCGTGATTAAAAAATACTAACAGTGGTTGTGGCAGTTACCTCAAGTCCTGTCAACTTGAACGAAGGGGTGGAGTTTAGCCTGTCAATCAGGTCATAGCCAATGAGGCCTCTTGTGGGGTTCGCCTTGTCCTGAGGATTCTGGGGTCTCCTGTCTTCCTTCCTGGAGATGGAGACACACTCTCTGCTTGTCGTTCCTGGTGACAAGCCGGATGGAGCTATGCTGACGGCAGCCAGAGCCTTGGAGCTGGAGGAGACACACACCAGCACCGAGATGCTTCCACCGCCACTGGATCCACTAGACTCTCCACTTACTGGCCTGTGATCTTCCTGCATTGGGGGTCATTGCATGACTGCTCAGCTTAGATGAACACCCTGGCGTCAGACCATATTTGTCCTTTAATGTTTGACTAGCTGCACTCAGCCTCATGCCCTCCAAATCCATCCTTGTCGTGGGGTGTTTCACAGTTTTGTCATAATTGTTTAGTGATACTTTAGTGATACTTTAGTGATACTTACCATTACATTGTGTGCATGCACCAAAGTTTATTTAATCATTCCTCCACAATGGGCCATTCTGCCCATGATGGACATTTAGGATGTTTCTATCTTCTTGCTACTGTGAATAATGCTGCATGTCGTGTTCATACTATGTTCTTTGCTTCTGTAGCACATGTACCAAGTAGCTTGACAGCTAGGTCATATGGCAGTATTCCGATTCCCGACTGAGGAAGGGCCATGACACTTTCCAGTGGCTGCCCTGTTTTGCAGCCTGTCAGCAGTGTGTGAGAGTTCCAGTCTCTCCCCAGCCCCTCCAGCATTGGTTTTCTACTTTCTTTGAACTTTGCTATCATTTCTGAGGTAGGATAGTATCTTACTATTGTTCTGATTTGCATCTACTGAATGGCTAGTGATCATGAGCATTTCTTCATATATTTGTTGGCTACTTGAATTCGTCTTTGTTCATGTCTTTTGCCTACATTTTAATCAGCTGATAAGTCATTTTCTTTTCTTGTTGAGGCGTCGAAACTTTCTATAGAGTTTAGACATTAGTCTGTGTCTTACATGCTATTGCCACCCCCACCCCCAGTCGGTGGGTTCTCTTTTTACTCTCTTGGTGAGGTACTTGATGCACATGTTTCTTATTTTCAGCAGGTCCCAGTTATCTAGCCTGGCTTTTTTCTTTGTGTTGTTTTCTAGTATGTTCGATAGTTATGTTTATAACATGGGCCTAGCGCTCACATTTAGGTCTTTAATCCATCTTGAGTTTGTTCTCTGTATGGAGTGAGATGTGGGTCCTGTTTTGTTCTTCAGCAAGTGGAAATCAATTTTGCCAGCACCATTTGTTGAAGAGATTATCTCTTCCCTCATTTAATGTATTGCAGTCTTTTGGGAAAAGCCAGTTATCTGTAGGTGGACGGAGTTATTTCTGAGTTCTCTATTCTGATTTCCGGGTCTACAATCTATCATTGTGCCAGTCCCTGCTCTCTTGAACACCGTGGCTTTGTGGTAGGTTTCAAGATTGGGAAGTGAGAGGCCTCCTACTTTGTTCTTCTTTTGTGCAGTGCTTTGCTTATCTTAGATTTATTCTTTTTCTATATCAAGTTTGTGATTAGTTTCCCTATTTCTTTAAATAATAATGCTGTGATCTAGAGTAGAATTTCATTATGTTTATAGATCACTGTGAGTAGTATTGAAATTTTCCCCATGTTAGTCTTCCTATCCATGAACATAGGGCATTATCCCATTTACAGAGGTTGCTCTTGGCTTCTTTCAGTGATGCTTTACAGTTTTCTGGTGCAGTCTTGCTTCTCCGGTAGGTTGATTCCCACATAATCATCTTTGGGGGGCTGCTGTAAATTGTATGACTCCTTGCTTTCCCTTCCAGAGCTCCCGTCCTTAGTATAGAGGAATATGATTGCTATTTGTCTGTTGGCCATATATACAGCTGCACTGCTAATCTTTCCAATAGTTCCAGCAATTTAATTGTTGAATTTTTGGGGTGGGGGGTTTATCTATCGAATCATATCACATGCAATTAGAGAGTGTTTTGCTTCTCTGAAAATGTGGGTGGCTTTGAGTTCTCTTTGTTTTCTAGTGGCTCTGACTAAGAATCTCCAGCACGAAACTGAATAAGAATGATGCTAAAGGGCGTCCTTGTCTGGTTCCCATGTGCGGGAATGTTTTCATGGGAAAAGGAAATGCGCAAACAAAAAGGAGTCAACACAGAAAAGTAAGAGAAACTAAAGAAGCCATCCTTAACACACACACACACACACACACCCCACACACACAACAAAATGACAGTGGTAAGCTCAGACCTGTCAAGAATCATGTGGAATAAATGGCCTAAATACTAGTAAAGAGATAGAGAGTAATAGAATTGGGTTAGGATGCGCACACAAAACCCATCAATATGCTTCCTACAAGAGCTACACCTTAGGCATAATGAAAAATATATTAACATTCAAAGGGTGGGGAAAATAGCAAGCAAACAATAATCAAAACAGAGCAGGAGTATATATATTATTAGTCTCTGGTAAAAAAAGAGAGGGGGTTCATTAAAATGCACCATAAAAAATTAAAAAAGGAAGGAGTACATGGTCGTAAACACACACCCAATGACAGGGCTCCAGAATGCGTGGCCCAAAAACACTAGCAGGAAACCTCCGCACACTGCCTTTGCAGAAGGACGGAAAACTACAACGAGACTCAACATAGATCCAAACGACCAACTCAGCCTTAGAGACAGAACCCTCCACCATCCAAGCCCTGAAGGAACAGAGGGTCAGGGCCTGTGTTTGCTGGGTACCCTGTCAGCTGGCTGTGTTCACACTGTTGGATTGTTCATATTCTGTGTGTGTGTGTGTGTGTGTGTGATGTAGCAAACACCTCTGGGGCTGTGTCTTAGTGTAATTGTCTCCGTTTCTTAATGTAACTGTGTCCACGTTTGTTTCCTCCTCCTTCACAATCTGTTACACATTTACTTGATGAGGTCTCCCCAGGTTTGGCTCAGCCTTCCTATCTTCAGTTTGAGGTGCCCCTCGGCATAAAACCGGCCTGTTACCAATGCAGACCGACAGCACGCGCCCTTCCACCAATGCTGCACTCGAAGTCTTGCAGCGTAACGGGGATACCTCTAGCAAGAAAATTTGCATCACAAACTAGAGCTCTAGCACCAAGCTTTGTCCCCGCCCCACGGGGGGTGGGGTGGGGGTGGTAAGAATTTGTCATGCAAATCCCTGCGCCAGGGAATCTGGGGGATAATTTCCCGGGGATTCCCCTGCGCTCTCAGCGCAGGGTACCTTCCTTGAAGTTCCCCGGGTGGGGCCGGTGGATTTGGGATTAGGGATTAGCCTTTTCGGGTGACTGTTTTACTGGGGCGTCCCCCCAATCCTCTTGCCCCGCCTCCGGCGTGGGGCGGGGGTCTTCTGCAGCGCCTCCACCCTTCCGTCTTGTTCTGCCAGCCTAGACGCTGCGCTCGTTCGCGGGCTCGCCTGTTCCTCCTGCGGCCGGGCCGGGCGGGATCAGAGCGCCCAGCCCCACCGGGACAGCTCACCCACCGCCGCCCTGCCGCCCTTGCGCCTGTCCCTCGGGGTCTGGGCTCGTCCTGCCCCGCTCTCCTCCCTGGGGGAGGGGAGGGTCCTGCAGGCTCCCCGCGCTGGCTGCGGGTTCGGCCCCCGCCTCCATCTCTGTCCTGACGCGGGACGCCCACTCTCTGCACCTCCCACTCAGCCTCTGTTTAGGTCCCGAGGGCGCGAGGGGTCAAGCTGTCTGGCCCCGGGTCCCACACCTGCCCGGCCCAGGCTGGTTCCACTGGGCTCCGAGGCGGTGGGGGTCCTGCCCAGTGCGGGCTGGGGGAGCCCAGGCTCCTCGACTGGACACTAAGGAAGTATGCGAAGCCCACGCGGGTCCTGCCGTCTGGAGGAGGCTGCGGGCTGGGTGGGTCCCGAGGAAGAGCCGGACGGGACAGCCGTGGGCGCCAGCGCGGACTTAGGGCTGGGGGGGGCCGCGGCTCTGCCGCCCACCTTGCACCTTATGTCTGGCTAGTGGTGGGCACGGGTGTTTTCTGCTGCAGCCCCTCCCCGCCTGGCCAGAACCCCCATGGCCATAGTGAGAGACAGGCCCTGCAATGGGGCCGCGCAGGTGGGCCCTGAGCCTCCCTGCATGGCTAGTGACGCGTGCAATGGAGCGGGGTGCAAGGAGGCGGTAGCACCCTGGAGGCCCGGCACGATGCGGGGCGTGGCGGGGCGTGGCGGGGGTGTCTCTGGAAGCCCTCCTGGGAACGAGCAGCCAGCGGGTTCTCGGAGGCCCTGCAGAGTTTAGGGTGGCGGGCGGGGTGGCAGGACCCCCGAGGACCGGCAGGGAGCGGAGGGCGAGTCCCAGGGGGTCTGAGTGCGTGTCCCCCGCAGGCTCCCGAGACGTCGCTGCTCCCTGCCTAGTGTGCTGCGGGCCCTTCCAGCCAGCGCAGCCCTGCAAGCGCTGCCGCTCCTTCTGCGCCGCGGTGTTGCAAGGCGCCTCCTTCGTGCCGCTGGGCGGTGGCCAGGGCGGACTGTGACCAGGACTTGCAGAGCGGTGTGGCGGGACCCCTGCGCTCCCCATGGACTTGTATACAGAGCTATTTTACAGAAACGGGACCCCGTGGTGTTTCTTGTGCAGCAGCGCCAGCACCCCACCGGGGCCCCTGCTCTCCCAGCCCTTGCTGTAGGGGAGAATGATAGTCCTGCACCCTCTGTCCACCGCTGGGGCTCCAGCGGGTAGCGCTGTGGTGGACTGGACCTGACTGGGCCCCCCAGGGCTGAACAGGCCTGTGAGGTTTTTCAAAAGGTCTGTGTACCTTTGTGGGCGTCCTTATCTCTGCCCCCCCTCCACCTGCAGCTCCCAAACTGGGCAGGGGTGCCCTCACTAGCACTGGGCTGTTGAGGCAGTGGCCAAGCTCAGTGGCCAGGCATGGCATCCAGGTCACCAGTGGGAGCTGCCTCGCTGTGGGCAGGGGGGCAGAGGGAGACAGGCAGCTGGGGGTAGGAGACAGGGAAGGGGAGAGAGTAGGGCAAGGAGCGTCCTTGAGGGTCCCTGCCCCTCGGTGGGGGTTCCCGGGATGCCCCCTCAGTCCACTGGAATTTATGCTCACTTTGGAGAGAGGCCCAAGGGTAGGCAGGGCACTGCATGTGCCCTGGGGCTATGTCTGGCATACTGCCCCCCATTAATGCCAGCATGAGGGTGACCCTGTGGGGATCCTGCCTTTGTTCGCCCAGTTGAATTTTGACACAGAAAGAGGCTGACCCAGCCTGAGAGCCCAGGACTGGGGCCTCTGTGCCCCCTACCCCCTGCCCACTGCCTGGATCCATCCAGAGGGCTGGAGGCAGCAGAACCCCTGCACTCGGCCAAGCCCAGTCCCGTGGGCTCCTGCACCAAAAGCCACTCCAACATCTCCCGGAGTGCAGACCTGCCTGGGAATCCATCAACTCAGAGTGCCTTCCACCTTTGAGATCCAGACATCGATGGAGGGGCCATGTACCCCACCCACAGAAGCCCACCAGCTCAAGCAGGAAAGCTCTTTCAAAGGGGATTGGCACTGGGGTGCAGGTACCCAGGACGACTTCTCTGCCCACCCACCAGGAGCCACCCACCACTGCCTCCTCCCCCAGGACACGCACATCAGAGGCTGAGGTCTGAGCCCAGACCGCCTCCTTGAGCCACCAGACAGGCCCCTGTGAGGTTGAGCCCACCAGGCCCTGCCGGTGGGGCAGGGGGCCAAGGGGAAGTCCACAGCCGCCATGCGGGTCCTTCCTCAAAGGGGCGGAGTCAGCTGCCTGCCTTGCCCTGCTTGTTTGCTGGAGAGCAGAGCTGTTGGGCAGCCTGTGTGTGCACACGTGTCCCCAAGATGCAGCCACGCGGCAGGGCACACGCACAGCCTCGCACCCTCACCACTCGCTGTGGCGCTGGCCGGATGCTGGTGAGGAGGGTGGTCACCCTCCTTTGCCTGGCCGCCACCGTCTCCCAGAGCCTGGCTATCCCCAGGATCCAGGAATGTGGCTTCTCCTGTTCTCAGGTAAGTCCTGGGCGGGGGCAGGCCACCACCTGTGCACAGGTGACCCCTCACAGCACAGTGCAGGCCAGGGGGGCAGGCCCTTGGGGGTGTAGGGTACTGGAGGCCAGGGAGGCTGAGCTGGCCTGAGGCCGAGGTCCAGCTATATGCCTGGCTGACCCTACCACTCAGGTATGGCTGCTGTGGGGAGCCTGGGCAGAAGAGCCCCAACCCTGCAGTCCGCACCCCACCATGCACACCCATGAGCTGCCTCATCCGGGGGGGCTGGTCCAAAGGGGTTCATCCTGGGAGAACGTGTCCCAGGTGGGGACTCCCTCAGGAATGGGGCTCACCGGGGAGTCCTCTTGACTCAGGGAGGGTGTCCTCCTCCCTGAAGGGGATGTGTGGCCAGGAATCCCTGCCCATACAGGCCCTAGCAGGCCCGGGACGAGGCCCAGTGCCTGAGATGGGAGGGCTTCATGGTGGCGGCGGCGGGCCCATGAAGACGTGCTCGTCAAAGGGGATGCTGCCAAAGTATCTGCTGGACGCCTCCAGGAGCCCTGGCCTCTGGGAAAACAGCCCCCCCACCGCTGAGGTGACAACTGTTAGGAAGACAGAGGTGGGAGTGAGCAGGACCCAGGGGAACAGCCAGAGGTAGAGTGGGGACTTTGGGGGGTGAGCAGAAATGCCGGGTCCCCCAGTCAGCAGTCAGGCTGTGGAGCGAGAGGAGACACGGATGAGGCTGAGACGGCCACGGAGGAGAACCACGGACAGGAGGTGCACTCAGAGAGGACACGGGAAGCCACGGGAACTGTTGGAAGAGACAAGACCCAAGGAGCCTGTCAGGGGCTCCCTGTGGCTGGTGTGGGGCCCGGGGGTAGAGGAATGGGGGAAGGGCAGGGAGGTGTGCAGCGAGAAGGGAAGGTGTCCAGGACGAGGCCCTCGGTGGAGATGGGGACGTGGTGTGGGGTGGCGCTGGCAGAGCTGGGATCTCAGGTCGCGGGAGAGGGAGGAGGGGGTTGAGCCTGGCCCCCCCAGGGGTGAGGCAGTAGTCGGTGCCTCACAGGGCACTGTGTGTGGGCAAGAACACACTGTGGGGCCAGCCCACTACTGCTGCCACTGCCACCAGGCCAGTCCATCTGCTCCTTCCCTGGCATCTGCTCCACCAAGCCTGGCATCCTCCCGCAGGACGGGTTCTTGCTCACGTGTCCAAAGGACATGAGACTTTGCCAAGGAGCACCTGGTGGTCCATCTCCCAGCAACCCATGGAACTCGGTGGCCCTCAGCAGCCCAGTCCTCCTGCGGTCCTTTCCAGCCGGCGCCTGGGCCAGGCGCCCTCAGCCACCCAGGAGATGTGGGTGTGCAGCCGTGCAGCAGGTCTGCACACGGCAGTATGTCTTACCTGCTGCTTCTGTGGGCTGTTGGTCAAAAAATCAAATCCTTGACAACACCATTATTCCCCCACCTCCCATTTACCTCCATGTCTGGGGACCAGGGCTGGTTCCTGAGGCGGGTAGCCTTGGGGTGGGGGGGGGGTGGGGGCTTGCTTTGAAATGTTGGGCTGAGAAGTCCAGAGAGGGCCAAGGGGGCGGCAACTGGACTCTCAGTGGGGTCCAGATAGGAGTTGAGGTGTGGACAGTTGAGGACTGAGCCCCCTGTCCGCTCCCCCAACTGAGGCTGTGACCAGAGAATGGGTGCAGGGCTGTGTGAGGGAGGGTATGGAGGAGAGGCCAGTGGCAGGGGGGATGTGGGGAGCAGTGGGGTGCCAGGGTGAGGAGGGAGCTCTGCCCACCCCACCCCGCACAGTGGGGAGGAGGCAAGGCTGTGCTGAGGGGGGTTCTCCAGAGACCCCCCCCTTGAAGAGTGGGCAGAACAGAAGTGGATAAGCAGGCTCACCCAAAAACCCAGGCTGCCGGGGTCCAGGACAGGCTCAGACCCCATAGGGGAGAGACCTCCAGGCAGAGGGACCATCTTGGGGACCCCACCCTGGGGGTGGACATATGACCTGGTGAACCTGGTAATAGGACATCACGGAACACGGGCCATGGGGCAGGGAAGGGGAGGTTCTGCTAGCTGAAACCTTCCAACTAGACACACAGGCCCCCTTCCCGTGGTGGAGCGTCCTCTCCTCTGTGCTTGGATCGGGCCCACCCATCCCCCCAGCACCTCTTGTGCCCTGCTGAGAACGGGACACTCGCGTTTGATGCTTAGGCTGTGCTGCACTCAGCCCCGAGCCCGCCCAGGAGACCCCTTCTCGCCCCCTTGCTGCCCACCCCGCTCCATGGGTCAGGCCCCGATAGCCCCACCCATTTTCCAGGCGGGAAAGTCTGGCCTCCCCAGCCTGGGTGTCCTGTGCCCTTCCTCCAGCGCAGACCAGTGAGGCCAAGCCCAGGCTCCCCAGCCTCGAGCAGCGCATCTTTGGCTTGGGGAGCGGGGGCCAAGGGGTGACTCCTTTCAGACGCCCCACCCCGCTCCGTGGGAAGCCCCGCCAAGCCCAAAGGAAAGCCCCTGGCCACCTCAAACATTACTGGCCCTGCCAGACCCGCCACTATGTGGACAGCATCCCACCTCTGTCTCAGCTCCTAGCCCCTGCCCCGGTCACCCCACCTCGGCCACCCAAGGACCGCCTCCTGCCCCAGCCCTGCCACCCTGTCGCCTCCAGCCTCTTGTCCCAGCCCCGCAGAGCCTCAGTAATGACTGTTCGCAGTTTTCAGCATAGTGATCAATACGTGATCAATACAGGTGTGTATTGCCCGGATGTACTAACTCACGGATGACATCAGTCCAACAATTGCTCAGTAAAGCCTACATTCTTACTGGGCCGCGTTCTCCAAACAGTGACTGATGCAGGTTCACAAATACTACCGATCCCAGCACTGTCCCTAAAACACCAGGCACTGGCAAAGCCAGCAGTTTCTGCTGTGCAGCGGACATGGCCCTGGCGTGGACAGGGAGCGCGTGACCCGAAGCCTCGCTGGGAGCGGGTGACAATGACCGCTCTGCCCTGAGCAACCGGCTGGTCCGGAAGTCAGCGAACCTGACCTCCCTGCCCGGTGGTGCATGACACATGTCTGCTGGGCTCACGGGAAAATGTTGTTCTTGTTAAATTCATAGAGGGATATTTTTATAAAATAAATACATTTCTTTTGAAACATTACATTTAAATTTTATCCAGTCTCTTCAGTGCCACCCCCTCTGACTGGGGCTGGGAGGGTCTGCCCCGTGCGGTAGTATCACTGCCATCAGTTGGAGAGGGGGTCAGGGATGGGACAAGGGAAGGGGCTTGCACCCACCAGGCACCCACAAAGGCTGAGGGCTTGGTGGGGCTGGGCACTAAGTGCCTTATCACCAAGACAGGACAGATCAGGCAGGGGTGACCATCAAGGCCACCCCCTCCACAGAGCTCCCCTCCCCAGGGGCTTTCCTCAGTCCTTGATCTGGGAAGGGCTAAGTCCCACCCACTGAGAATTTGCGTGGTGTCTGGAGGGTAGTGGGTGCCCACTACCGATGTTCCAGACATCGGAGGCAGGAAATAATGCCTGGCTGGGCTGACACGAGGGGCCATGGCTCTGCACTGCCCTGGTCTCTCGGGCTGAGAGGATGCTGCTGCTCAGCGTGTGGTCTCTCTGCGGGGAGGGGCTGGGCTAGCCGCCCACCTACCACACCCCACGCACATCCTCCCAGGTCTCCTCCTGGTATATACTGCAGCACCTGGGCCGGGCTTGGTGGGGCCTGCCCCTCACTGGGGACCAAGGATGGAGGGGTGGGGTCCTTGGGCAGCCGTGGGGTATCTGGTGGCTGGAGAAGTACTTTGTGCTCCCTCAGTCTCTAGGGAGATATCAGGGTGGTCTGAAAACTGGGGGGCTGGGGTGGGGGTGGGGCGCAGTGAAAAGAGAGTTCCAAAATGGGGGCAGCTCCAAAATGACCCTGCCTTCTGGTTGATTTCAACGATTCTGACTCACACGAGCCTCCGGCAGCGGAGCATGTCACCACTACACCATCAGGACCCTGGAAACACACTGCCTTGGGGTTGCTGTGACTCAAGGTGACCCTATGGGGCAGGGCAGAACTACCCCCTGGGGTTCTGAGACTGCGATTTTCTCACTGCCACCGAGCCACTGTGGACTCAGAGTGACCCCTGTGGGTTTCTGAGACTACGACTGTGTGCAGGCTTCTCCTGCAGAGCGGTGGGGGTTGGAACTGCTGACCTTGAGGTTCCAGGCCGACACACAACCATGCCTCCAGGGTTCCTAAATCTGGGGCGAGGGAGGCTAAATGCAGCATGGGATCCCAGCAGAGAGAGCGAGCGTGAGTGGGGGGACACGCGTGGTAGCACCCCGCCGCTGGCTCCCTTTGGATGCAGATGGCACCGTGGGGCTGGGGGAGTTACCCATGGGGGAGGCTGGGGGGTGCTGTCCAAAACTTTTCCGTGATTTCAAATTGGCTCTCAAATAAAAGGGGGTTGCAGGGGGCTGGAGGCACGACAAACCAGCAGTCCCTGCTCCACAGATTCACGCAGCAAATTACCGTCCCTCTTCCACCGAGGCTGCTAAGAGGAAGCCCGGCTCCCGCCCTTCCTCAGAGCTTCCTGATGCAGTTACAGCATGTGGCCATGTGGTGTCACTGTTGAACACGGGCCCAGCGCAGCCCCAGCAGAGCACACAGCCCACCCTCTAGCCCTTGAAGCTTCCTGCCCATCCCAGAGTCTGTGCCAGGAGCAGCCTTCCAGCCTGACCTTCCAGACCGCAGGACCTTCCCGGCCCCGTCTGTCCACACACTGGGTGTCCCTCTTTAGGCTCTTCCCCCATTGGGCAGAAGAGGGCACTGGGTGCAAGGACGTGGACTGAGAGGGTCCAGTCTGGTAGGGCATGCACCTCTCCCAATGTCTCCCTGGTTCCCACCGTCACCTCAGAGTTTGCCCTGATTCTCACTGGACAGGCCTCCTGGGCACCTCACTTAGAATTTCAGCCCACTTGTCCCCCCTGTGCCCCACATCACTTGTCAGCATGGAACGTAGATGGAGGGTGCTGTTGGGGATTTGGCGTCTCCTCCAGCACAGAAAGGACGCCCCCTGCAGCCAGGAAGCCCTGCTTGGTTCCATCCACATGTCCCGGCAGCTGAATACTGGCCAGCGCCTACAAGCTGCTCCCGAGAGCGTGGGCAGTGAGAGCGAGCGAGCGTGGGCAGCGGAGGGTCATGGCTGTGCTCGGCCCCCGGTTATGAAGCAATGCTGGTGGCCTGGTCTTGGGCTGGGCCTTCCTGGGGCCCCTGAGAGTCGGGGACAAGGGCACCGGGAGGAGCCTCGGGCCCTACCAGAGCGTGAGAGTCCAGGCTAAGACAGAAGGGGGGCATGTGAATGGGAGCAGGGTCCCAGGTTGGGGAGCAAGGCCCTCACCCTTGGCTCTGTTCTGTCCACAGGACTTTGTCTGCAGGAGCCGCAAGAAACGTAAGTACTTCACAACCTGACAGGACATGGGCCACCAAGCAGGACAAGCACCCCAGGGCCACCCAGGCTTGCCTGAGTCCCCTTGTCCACCTTGCCCACTCAGGCAGCTGGGGTACCCCCTGCTGTCTGGGTGAACCCTGTCACCCCACCCCCACCCCCACCAACATGCTGCAGCTGGAAATAGTACCCTGGACATTCCCACATGGGACAAATCCCCGGGCTTCCCACATGCAGCTTGGTGGGCACCCAAGGGGCACATTCCCTACTCTGTGGGGGGGGGGGACCACGTGACTCCCCAACGTGGCTGCAGATCTCCCACTGAGGGCCCCATGCTCCTCCCAGACATTTCCTTTTCCAAGCTATGGGAAGGGTGGTCTCACTGGGTTCTATCTCTGCCCCCCCCTCCCTCCCTCCTCTCTCTCCATGATTGAAGGGTTTATTAAGGAAGTCCACAGGTTGTAATGCACGTGAGAGATGGTCAGGACGCAGATATTTATCCGGAAAAGTTACAAGGTTTGGGTCTGATAATAAATGCTCACCTGAATACATTCCGGTGAGAGGCACCTCCTGCCCCGAAGCTCTCCACGGTACTGTCCCCGCGGCTGGCAAGTGGGTCAAAATGTTGCGTGTGTCTTTAAAAGGAACATAAGCGAGGCAGAATCTGCAGGGAAGGCAGAGGGTACACCAGAAAGGAATGTTTTAGAAACGTGAAGTCACTTTATTTCAGCTTTTTTAAAAGTATTGCATTTTAATTGAGGTAAGTAGAAAAAGTAAAAAAAAAAAAAACAAACCCAAAACTTCCAGACTTTGATTAATTAGATTTAATTAAACATTTGTTTTCACCTCAAGAGATGTTCTTTCCTCAAGCACCCCCCTCAGGACGTGCTGAAACCTCAAGTCCCACCTCCGGAGGTGCTGTGTGCGGCCTTCCTGTGTCTTTCTGGGACAGCATGGGGAGGGACACCTTGCTTAGCCATGAGCCCCGGCCTTCTCCTGCTGAAAGGAGGAGATCACTAACGCTCTGTTCCTGGTCTCTCCCGTCCGGAAGTGTCTGCTGATGGAGTACAGCCCCATCCTGTCTTCCTGAGTCACGTGACTCTCTGTTACTCCCTTGTCTTCTGACAGTAGCTGCTGGAGAGAAGTCTGATGCCAACCTGATTGCTCTGCCTGACTCCCTAGAGAGCTCCCTTTGGGTCCCTGAAATGTCACAGCTGCTCTGGAGGTGACAGCTGTTGTCATATTTCCTGGGCTCACAGATATGCAGCGCTCACAATTCCAGGGATTCTTTGTGCATTTTGTGTGAGTTCTTCACCTGTGGCCTTTGACGATCATTATATTGGACTGTCTTTGTCTTCCAGTATCTGGCAGCAGGTCTCTGGCTCTAGAGATCTCTCTGACTTTTTAGAAATGGTTCTATCTGTAATTATCTCAACCACTAAGTCAGAGATTCAAGTCCCATCACGTGCACCTGTCTCGTGGTATCCCTGTATCGCTCGTGCACATAGCAGCTCTGTCATGGGGCTGTGTGGGCCTCCATCTTGCTTCTTGGTCGGCCATCCACCTTTGTGGACGCTCCTGCTGGGTGACCAGTTGTCCATGTAAGATGTGCTGGGTCTTCCGTGTGGAAGGCATGGATGCTCTCTGTGTGCCACCAGCTCTCTCTGTGTCCTCGTGCACAGCCACACGTCTGTCCGCTGAGCCTGGCTCCAGCGGAACTTCCAGATTAAGGTAGACCCGCAAGAACGGCCTGGTGGTCTGCGTTGGATCACAGTCTGATCTGCACTCGACGGAGGGCGTGGTGTCCGGCGGCCATCGAGCGATGCTGACTCAGAGTGCCCCTGCGGGTTTCTGAGAAGGTGGCTGTGCAGGGAGCGGAGAGCCCCGTCTTTCTCCCTCGGAGCTGCTGGTGGTTTCAAACTGCCGACCACACAGATCGCAGCCCAACGGGCAACCACGACACCACCAGGGCTCCCGGAGGGTGGTGTGGGATGCAGCAACCTCTGCTCCTTTGTGCGTAGGGGGCTCATGTGTCAGCCGTTAATTGAAAGACAGCTCACAGCAGCAAGGTGGCTGCTGGGAGCACCTGCAGGCCATTCCCATCGACTCTGGGTCACCTGCCCTTGAGTTCTGTGTCCCTCTGACTTCTGACCCCCTCCCTCTCATTCGATTCTCTCTCTCGGTCACACTCAGACCCTTTCTTTACATCTCTTCCAACCTCCTTTGACCCAGTGCCCATAGTCTTCCCCCTGGCTCTGCAGCATGAAGGCGGAGTGTCCCACGCTGACCCCTGTCTATGGCCCTCACACTGGCAGGCAGGGGCTGCCTGCTCTCCCAGGGCAGTGGGTGGGAGGGGTCTTCAGTCCTTGGGTCTTCAGTACCGCAGGGAGTCCCGGGCCTCTCCCCTAACCCCTGCACCGCAGCCAGGGCAGAAAGGCAGGACACTCCCAGGCTGGCCAAGCCTCGGATGGACTGGGGCACTTCATGACACATCGTAGGGTTTTGTCATCTTGCCAATGTGACTTGGGGCGGAGGGGGGGGAGGTTGGGCACTGAATTTCCCGGCATGCAGCTTCTTGGGGCTGATGGCTCTGGCTTGGGTGTTGCCTGCGGAGGAGGGGGATCGTTTGAGGGTGTTGCTATCTCTTGGCTGAGTCTGCTCTATGTTGGGCCTCGGGGTGTGGGGGCAGTGGCTGAGACGCCCTTTGGTTTTCACGGTTTCCTGATTATCAGTGGGCATCCCTGGGCAGCGCAAGTGGTCACGTGCTCGTGGCTAACGGAAAGCTTGGAGACCTGAGTTCACTGGGGCGTCTGAGAAGAAAGGTCCTACTCCGCGACCCTGGTGACCTAGTTCCAAAACAACCTGCCATCGTGAGACCCCTGTGGAGTGCAGCTGGACGCCAGGGGCTGGGGCCCACTCAACGGCAGCCTTTCCCTCGCTCAGCTTTCTCCTCCGTGACTCAGCCATTGGCGACCCACCTGCTCCCATCAGCGGTGCTGCCAGGATGCTATGGAGGGTTTGCGTGGAAGGAGTCCCTGTACGGTGTGTCAGGAGCCAGGGACCCTGTGGTCATGCGCGAGCGGCTCACCATAAGGCCCGAGGTTGGAGCCACCAGCCGTCCCAAGTACATGAGGCAAAGCCTCGCCATCCTTGCCTTCAAGGAGCATTCTGAGCACACCTCTCGCAAGACGGATCTGTTTGTCCTGCTAGCTGCCCAGGGTACTTTTAATATTCTTCTCCAGCACCGCAACTCAAGCACATCCATGCTGCTGACGTTCCTCCCCATCCAAAGTCCGGCCTTCAGATGCGTACCAGGCCACGACAACCGCCTGACTCGGTCAGGCAGACCTCAGTCCTCGAGGCCACACCCGTGCTTTCCAGTACTCTGAAGAGCTCGCGTGCAACGATTCGCCCAGTGCAGTGCGTTGCCCAATCTCTCGGCTGCTGCTCCTGTGCTCAGACTGTGGATCCCAGCAAGATGAAGTCCTCACGACGAGAACCTTGTCTCCGTCTAGCAAGATGCTTCCTATTGGTCGGGCTAGGAGGGATTTCACGTCCTTTCCATTGAATTGTCACCCACACTGGCAGCTGCAGGCCTCTCCTGGGTCCTCATCATGATGCCTGCTGAGACCCACCAGCCCCTCCAGGGGAGAAAGGCGAGGCGGTCTGCTTCAGATCCCTAGAGAGGGTCCCTGTGAGTCTGCACTGCCTCAACGGTGTGGGTTTGGAAGAATCATTTAGCAGTGTATCAAAACTTGGCAACACGCCCCTCCCCCCATTTGTCCAGTCATCCTACAAAGATTGATCGATCACAGACCGAAAGCAAAAAATGACTGAGGATTTATCCCCGTGGGTGGTGTGAAGCAGGAATCCGATCTTAATTCTGTGCTCCTTCCCCCGGCCCCTTCCAGCAGTCAGCTCCTGCCCCTCCCTCATTCCCACCCAGGCCCGTGTGGGTTTCTAAGCCTCCTGCCCCATCGCTTTCCTGCCCCACCTGTCTGATCCTGAGCCAACGGCCACTGCCAGTGAGCACAGAAAGCAGGGGGCGGAGGGGGTGGGGGGGGTCCATGCACATCCAGAGAAACACCGGCACCTGGAGACCTGTGTCTGACCTGCTCTGTGGGAACAGGAGGAAGGAGGAGGGGTGATGGGCCTGGGAACAGGGGACCCCTAAGTTGGCCTCCATGAGGCTCAGTGGGTGGCGTGGCAACCAGCTTGAGAAAAGCAGCGGAGGCGGTGGACAGTTGGCCGGAGGACTGGAACCAGCGACCTTGCAGTCAGCAGTGCAATGCTTACCTCAGCAAGTGCAGTGAAGTGAGAAGAGCCGCTTTCTAACGAACATTCAGAAAAATGAACTTCCCAGGAGCAGCCGGGGCCCGGGCGAGTTATGGTCTTAACCAAGCATGACCTTCGTCCCAAAGTGGTTTAAAATACTTATTATCACCAAGCGACACGAGACTTAAAGAACAGCACGGATCAGAATCACTGAGAAATGAAAGGACGGAGTTCAGAGATAACGAGGAAAGACGGTTGTGGACATGAAGAGACAAGTTCTGTAGTAAGTGCCGTGCTAGGAACCGCAGATGAAAGGAGGACATGTGCCCGTGTGTGCGTGTGCATGTGTGCATGTGCGTGTGTGCGAATTGGGGGAAGGTTTACGGGGCAGTTCATCGGTTTCTCAGTCCACAGTCCACACACGTGATTTCCGGCTTTGCAATGCTCTCACACTTCCTCCCTCCCCGCCCGTCTCTCCTGCTTCCATTCTGCCATCTTTCCCAGCCCTCTGTGCGCTCCGGGTGCTCTGACATGGTGGAGTGGTGTCATTCGGAGGGTGACGGGGCCGGGCTGGCTCTCACCAGTCTCACTCGGACCAGTCAGCCTGCTCGCACGTGACTCCGAGTTCTGGTCCTCATCTTCTCCCACTTGCTGTGGGAACTTCTACGCGGTCCTTTTCCACACCGTGGGGAGCACATTATGGAGCAGGTTATGGAGACTGACATTTG